AAACCGTGTCAATAATACAAAACGTACAATGAACTTATGAACATGCGGAAAATTTTAAAAATTTGTATAAATTTTGGGCGTGACAATTTTCCGCATGTTCATAAGTTCATTGCACGTTTTGTATTATTGACACGGTTTCCAATTTACTATAGTTTCGATCTCGATAATACAAAAATGTTTATCTGGGGCCGAGTCTGTGGCCAGTTGTATCAAGCCCGTTTAGCTTAAACGGTGGTTAAGCTCAAAACAGAAAGCAACTAAGCAAGTCATCGATTTATTCAACAATCAAGCTAAACGCTTCAGTAGTGGCCGTGTAAAAAACGCGGCCGTACATATCAGATATAATTCGTTTTATCAATTCATTAGAATGATCATTTTATACGATAACCCGTTTATACTGACCTTGCATATAAATATCTAATGAAATACAAATTGTCAAACACAAAAACCTGGTGGTCATCGAGGTTTATGACGATTACGGCTGATTTGTAATTTATCCGTTCTTCTTATAATCGTTGTGTACAATAAATTGCAAAAATAATGCCCAAAATTCCAAATGCACGCAGTCAAAAGTGATGTGAAATCTACAAGAAATCTCGTGAATACAAAATTACTTATGTTAAATAAATAAGTCCAGATGTCGCCTTCCCCCCCCTAAACACATGATAAGTCAATGCGGCCATCTACTTCCGGCTGGTCGAAATTGACCAGCCGGAAGTATTTCTGCTGCCAGATGTTACAAGTCTCTCTTCTCTTTCCTCCTCTCCCCCTCAGCGGTACGTCATGTAACGTACAATATAGTGGGTCTCCACAAAGAGAGACTTGGAGCAAGTCTACCAAAAACATGGCGGATTTCGTTGGATTTCGGCCTTTGCTGACGCCAGAATGACGCCACTGGTCCCAAATCCTCGTGGTAATTACCACTGAGCAAGGCTCATTTTGAGCCCGCCACCACTTTCACATCCCCCTGATTTTCGCAAAAATATTTTAGCTTTTGTTTTGGAGTTTGACTCGGTTTTTGCCTTCTCTTCGGCATTTTAACATTTGTTTCGAGTTGCACAAGTGGCAAGAATCATCCTGGCTAGTGAAGACAGGGAACAACGAATATTTAAACCTCAAGAAATTTCGTAAAGACGTTATTTGTAAAGGTAAAAATATACTGTTTATATGTTCAATAGTATAAATTTGTGATCGAGCACTGCCAGTTCTAGTTCTAAACAAAGCGAAATAAACAGCTTATTGTGTAGTGAACAATTTTAGCAACTGATGTATACAATTAGGTTAGTCTTCCTCGAAAGAAAATGGTTGAAATTTCAGATTTTAGTTTCATTTGTTTATATTTCAAATTTTACTATATAAAATGCCAGTTGCATGACCACCGTCTGCTTCATGATACTACTTTAATAGGAAAATTAAAGTGCTTTCTATTAATATATCATGGCTTTGAATGATTTAATCTACGTAGTACATATTTAACTGGCCACTGATGACTATGAAAGTCTATATCGAGGTCTATATCAGGATTAAAGATTTGGCAGTCAATTGTACCAACTTCTGTTGAAGCTAGGTTTATATATAAGATCAGGTTTAGAGGCCTGTAACATTTTCTCTAGAAATTGAATGATAGTAAAATCAATTTCATATTAATTAACCCATTGAGCCGCAATGCGCCCTACCTATTTTTTATTTGTCGAATGCCATATGATTTTGCTCGGTTTGCTCGATTTTTAGTTGTCGAATGCCATATGATTTTGCTAGGTTCAGCAGCTGCAGCTTAATGGTTAAGAACATGAAACATTTTTGATAATATTTGATGTTGCTAATAATGCATTTTTGTAGGAAAATATCTTACACAGTGGTTGTTTGCCAGTGACACCAAACCCCAATATTTACATCCTAGCCCACCTGAGGTAGCCTACCTTGTGCGAAACATATGACAATTTGTGTCACTGTGGGTGAAAAGATTGCATAATCCTTTTTTATTTTAGGATCTATCACACAAGGAGAAAGTCTTAATTCCACGATTTCTACTGGCAAAGATACAGTTGTAATTTTCTTTGGATTTTGAAGATAGACAATGGAACAACTTGGCAAAGTTTTGTTTATAATTAATAACATGTTTTAATTTACTTTATTCACATGCATTCTAATATGTATATTTCTATAAAATTATTTAATAATTATGCATTATATAATTCATATCCAAATATGATCACCAAGGGGCCAGTTGTACATT